AATGATTAATTTTTGTATTTACATATTTGTTTGATGTATAGTTTTAGAACAATTCTTCAAAGTATTGGGGCAGCCAATTTGCAAACTAGCGAATTGGCTAACTGCTTGGGTCTTGAATGAACAGCTGGTTTTTGAATCTCACTGGGTCCGACTTGTGGCTACACCCCACTCTGGTCTGGACGAGTTTCTATTGCGGCAGGAGATCGGACATAGAATGTTTTAACGGAGCCTGGCACATTTCTGGGATCCCCCGTTTTTGAAGGATGATTTGCTGTATTACGCGAGACATGATAATGTAAAAGTGGTTTACATTTACTAAATTGCTTGATTGATATTGATATGGGGCAGCCATCTTGAACAGGGCTTGAAACAAAATAGAGACAAATCGAGAGAAAAATAACGAACTTCAGTCAACCACTAATAACATTCGAGGAGCATAGAACATTTTGCCCAGGGTTATTTTAAACAGAAATCCCCATTCAAAATTAAGGCCGTCGCTGATTAGCTCCTGAAAGTGTGACGACCGTCCCTTCGTTGTTTTCATAATGGGTCTGAAAAGCGGGGGTTTCACTCAGCAGAGGAACCTTTTATCGTATAAATTGCAGCAAGTCAGTATAATTTAGTTGTTCTTTTCCAATCAGAGCCAGCGAGATTCAAAAGCAAAACGAGAGTCAAAATCCAAGCTGTCAGCTATAGAAGTGCATGTAACCCAAAAGTTGCACATATCAATCTCGCAATCGAATTAACCTCCAATCTGAAGGCTAAATCCGAATTAAAAAAAATTTATAAGAATTCCCAATTGAACAAAATAACTATGCAGTGCTGATTAACTCCAGCTAATGTTCATTACAACATACTGACCCACAATCGATTATCCGTTATGGTTTTTAAAACTACTAGTTCATATTTTTTAAAGCCTGGATACAGAGGAATGAATCAAGCATACTAGGTAGTCCTCTGCTTACATGGATGTCACATAACATTCTAATTGCTGTTTCCAGAAAATACTGCAAGTTATCACATGAGTGTCACTCATTAAAACACAGAAATGGGTCCCTGTTTATCACTGCACATATGCGAATATGATACTGCTCTCTGAAATCAGGATATTAAAGTATCAAATTTGGTCGCCTTCCTTACTGAAGATTTTCACTTTTGTATTAGATCCGTATATGTAACAGAGTTATTGACATACAAACTAAGTGTGTCCAAACTAAATGGTAAACACAATATATAAGAAAAAAGGTGAGCTACTTAATGCCAACTTAATGAAAAAACACAAATTGGTTATAAGTACTTCCAGGTTAAGTAAATGTTATCCAAAATATATCCATATGTTTCACCATCATAAAAAACAAATTACTAGGACTATATCGGTAAATTCATTAATAAATTATCAGTTGAAATTATTTCATGATCATTCAATTATTTTACTTTTCAATATTACATTAATGATCATTATTATACATCTGTCATCGCAAATCCATAAGTTACAGCGTACCGTAATTTTGCGGTATTTTACGGGGTATTTTCATACT